CATGGGCTTGCTGGCCGCCCCGATCCGGCCCTGACTGCCGGCTCCTGTCCTCCAGGCTTCTCTCGCCACTGCCAGTCTCGTTCTCTGGATCTGCAGGACCCCCCATAACCCTAACCAGTAAGTACTCGTGGGTGGTAGGCGCTGGGACAGAAGCACGCCCTGCTCAGCCTGTTGCCCGCTCCTAGTCCACAGCAGCCTCCACGGAACAGAGAAGCTTCCTGCGGGTCTGGCCAAGTCCACTTCTGGGTCAGCCTATCTTGACGTGTCTGGGGTCTTACAAGGTCTTCCACAAGGTAACAAAGACACGCTCCCTCAGAGTCGCCTACTGATCCGCGGTCCTCTCCGGGACCCCTGGTGTCTGCCTCCCCCCCTTCTCCGGCTCTGCTAGAAGCCGCGATCACCTCCAGGAGGCCCAACCCAACGTCCCCCGCACACGCCACCTCCACTCCTAGAAACACGCCTTTCTGGGCCCCTCCGCTCAGCCCCGCCACCCTGTTCTGAGCGAACTCAGGGCTTCAGACCTCGGCTGACACCAGCACGCGGTGTAGGCGCTTATGGGCTTCACTAGTCACTCCTAGCAGTGAGTCGCTACTACCGGGTAGTAACTAGAGTTACTACTGGGTTACTACTAGAGAAAACCGAGTTAACAGAAAGCAACAAATTTTAAAATATACCTCTTTTTTCCTGTAAGCTGTTTTCTAAAAAAAAAAAAAAAAAGCCTAAGCAACTGAAGCCCTCGACCTCCTTAAACTGTTCCTTGTCAAACCACTGCAAGGAAGGACTCCCTCGTCTACAGTAAAACCAAACTGGCTTCTGCGGGTTGAAGTTTTGGGTTAAGTCACGACATAAGAAATGGAAAAACCTGTGCAACATAATGCCTTCTAAATATTATTTGTGCGTAAAATACTAAATTATTCAATTAAGCCAGACAAAGTAGCCCTTTCCAGGGCTGGAAGAGCCACTGCCGGGAGGATGCCGGACCTGGTTCAGGGCCAGGGTGCTGGGGACAGTGGACGGCTGGCAAGCCAGCCTGAGCCTGCGTCCAAGACCAGCATTCGTCTCCTTGTCACGTGGGCTTAGAGGCCACAGCTCTGCAGCTTTGCAAATTTTAGCTGAAAAATGGCACCGAGACCTTAGGTCTTAGTGAAGATAAGAGGGTCTCACTGCAAAAGGGCAAAAATCCTCTGTGTTAAGAATTTCGTTAAAGAGCGTCTCTGAGCACAGCACTGGGGCTAAACGTAGTAGACGTTACTTCTGACCTCTGCACGGTGTAACAAAAGGGAAAACCAGTCCAAGCATATTTCTTCTTTTCAGGATTCTCTAGATCACGACTTATTTACTTCTCTCTCTAGATAGATGGGTAGCATTGGATTAGTTATAAATACTATTTCTGCGCTAGAATAAACCTTATACACCAATTTCTTCCTTTTACAAACAAAGCACCTGAAGCCTAGAGGGGGTCAGAGACTGGGCCGCGGTCTCACCTGGTTAGAATTCCGACCTCGTGGAGCTGCAGGGCCGGCACAGACGCTCCATTTTCCATCCGATCAAACAGGACGTTTCCCGAAACACTACGCTTCGCAGCCGGTTCTCATCGCCAGCGAGACTTACCGTTTCAGGTGTACTCTTTAAAAACACGCAAGTCTGCTTGCTTTGGCCTCGAAGTGTGAACGGTCTGGGGGGAGTTCGAGCACACCGGACTACAAAGAAAACGTTCTCTGACGCTGTTTTACTGTCGCTCTTCGACGCGTCCAAAAGGACACTGGGCGCCGCTCATGACACGCCCGTGGAAGGCAGCCCCTTGCTGATGAATCCTTCCTCATTCCTACCAAAATAATTAGGTTTCTGATAAACTACAATAAAAAAAAAAAAAAAACTTTGCAATTTTTTCCCCCCGGAACAGAACTTAAGGGAGGACCCCTGAAAACGCAGGTGGACCGGTGCATCCGGGCCGTCCCATCCTAATTCTTGAACAAAGTGCAGGGCTCACCATGACCCCCACGACCCCCATGACCCCCACGTCACCAGCAAAACCCGTCAACGATGTCCACGTTCCACTTAAAATGGAAAAGCAGCTTGTGGTGACATCAGGTTTTAGAAAATAAAACATCCATAAAGCGTGTTTCTATTTTTAATTTTTTTTGCTTTGATAAATCAAATGCTTCACAAAAATCCCTTTGAAAGACAACAATCCAAGAAAACATATTGTTACAGTATTCACATTTTAAAGATTGTCAGTTCATAGACCAAATGTAACTAAAACGAAGGCAGACCGTGGAGTCACTTCTGTCACGACCGGCCAGAGACGGCCTTCTCCCTCCGACCGGCTGTGCTCGAGTGTGTCTAGAAGGCAAGCCCTGGCTGCTCGCCCCACAGAGAAGGCCCTCCAGACCGCCCCCCTCACTCAGCATCCTCCCCGGGCTGGCGGCAGTCGGGGCACTGCGGGCGGAGTGGGCAATGATCCCCCGGGGAGGGCAGCGGCCCAGCCTGTCGGGCTCCCTGCTCAGCCGTGGCACAGAGGGGACGGCCGGCTTCCTCTGGGCCTCAGAACGCATCCAAGGCACCTTCCAGTGGAAGGTCAGGATCGCATCCGCTCACCAAAAAGGAACGTTCGACAGCGTCCCCTTTGCATAGCTGCTCTGGAATGCCGGAGGGCTGGGGATGGAGGTTTCTACAATGCAGACGGACAGACAGTGCGCTGGGTGGCGGCTCTCTGACCCCAATCGGCTCTGCCATATGCCCAGCCGTGCATGGGCGCCTGGGTGTCCCAGGAAGTCTGCCGGAATCTCAGGCCACCCTCCATGCCTCTCTCTGAACGGCTCATCCCAGTGCTCGGAGCCCAGTGAGAACGGAGAGCCCGAGAACCCCAGCCTCAGCCAGAGGGAGCGCGCGGCATCACTGGGCCGGGAGGCCTCAGGCCAGTGGGGGGTGGGACTCTGCACGGGAGCCCTGGACTGCCGGGCTGCCCCTTGCAGGATCCCTGGGCAGGGAGGGAGACAGTGACCCCTGGGAGTCCCTGGGCGGGGAGGGAGACAGAGACCGCTGGGAGTCCCTGAGCAGGGAGAGATAGGGTGACCACTGTGAATCCCTGCACGGGGAGGGAGATGGTGACCACTGGGAGTCCCTGGGCGGGGAGGGAGACGGTGACGCTGGGGGTCCGCACCGGGAGTACATCTGCACTCACCCAAGGAGCAGGGCGGCTAGGAGGCCCAGGGACCTGCGGCCGCAGGAAGCCGGCCGGCCTCCACAGGTCCTCGCTTCAAGAAGTCCAACAATACCAGACTTCAGGTCAAGTTAAAATCATCTTTTAAACTGGGGCAGACTTGCTGAAAAAATTACAAACCATTTATAAATAAGGAATGTAATCGCTGCTTACAAATGTGATTCTCTTGCCAAGAGTTAATAGTTGTGTTTTTCTTCTAAAGCTCCTGAAATATTTTTAAGAGAAATTTCCAAGTATTTCTAACTGTCTTCTAAGTTATCTAGGAAATGCTCTTCCGTGATTAACTTTAATCAATAAATTTGGGGGGAAGAAGTCAGTTGCAGAACAAAATCTGCCCTCGCTCAAAATGTCCCCTCAGTGTCAGCGTGGTCTGCAGGCAGCTACCGCCATCAAACCTTAAGAACGGGCGACTTTCCTGACCATGAACTACTGTTTGGCCACAAGGACAGCGGGCGTCCCCTGTCAGACCATGTAAGACTTCACGAGACAAGGCGGCTTGTTTTCGCTCTGAGAAAGAGCCCCACTTGCAACTACATGAAAACAAAGGAAACAAAACCCAGTCTCCTCTTCTGGTTTGTCTTGTCCCCCCGGAAACGGAAGTCCTACAATTATCCCAAATCTCGTGAGTGCAAGCCCGGGGGGCAGGGCTCTGGAAATGCCAAAGCAACAACGGACAAGGAGGGAAAATGGACACCGGGCCCAACGGCAGGAAAGTCTGCCATCACGCTGTCGCCCCATTCTGGGTCCCCGTGTCACTTCGGGAAGATGTTAATTACGTAACAGAGCTAGCGTGGCTTATGGGCCCTCACTCGGAGCCAGCGGGTAGAGGACGTTTTGTATTAGTTTGTAATGAACATTCTACATGTGACACATGGCTGACGAAAACGTCCTAGAGCAACACATAGCTATCTGGGACAGTAACCATTTAACTGCAGTCAGATTCCGATCAGACAGAAACACAGGCGGTGAGCTGTTCTCCGGCCGCTGGCCACCGCGTCACCTGACTTACTAGCCCTGTTGAGCAATCCCTTAGGTCTATGTCCGGATCGAGAGTAAGATGTGATGTGAGCATTCACGTAGCAACTAAAATTCGCAGGTACCAAAATTTCATTCAACAGCTGCTACCTTCGTAGTCGTAAACACGAACCACCAGCCTGGGGCGGCAGAGAACCGTGGAACGCTAGCTAACTTTGGGCAGGTTCACGGAATTTGGTCAGTCCACAACATTCCAAATTGAAGTAGTAAGCATGTATTGTTTCTCCTCTAGAAATTTTATCCTCAATACAGTCATCCAATTCATAACGAATTTATAAAAATAGCTTTTTATCCAATAATTCCAGCAAGGTAAAAATAGGAGTTTCTTTTTCATCTATAGCAAATGAAACAGGCTCACGGAATGTGCGAGAACCTACGTGTGTTCAGAGGGCCCACCGCGGAGCCACGCCCACTTTGCCACCGTGCGGCGTCCACCTGGCACGGGCGGCTTTAAGACGCAGAAGCTTCTTTCGAATCCGTGGGCCGCACAAAGAGATCAGCCCACTGAGACCTGCTTCAACCAGAGAACTAAGTTAAAACTGCGTAATTTTTTAGAAAATGGCAGCACTACTCCTTAATCTAATTAGGGGCTCACAGGGGTGTTTGCCACTCATCACATTCTTAGCGTTAAACCTTTAAAGAATTTCCTTAAAAACCCACACGCACGCACACGCACGCACGCACACACGCACACACTCGAAAGAAGTCACTGCACCAGCAGAGATGCTCTTGAAGCGTACTATGAAATACAAAAGTGCACTCTTCTCTATCTACATATAAAACATATTAGAATAAAACTGTGTAAAAGGTTTGCCGTGCAAACTGTAAAGGTCAGGCAGGCCCGCCCCACGGTTCCGGGCCGCGCCGGGGCCTACTGCAGGGAGTCGCTGTTCTCCAGGACGAGGCCGCTGATGTGGGCGGGGGCCAGCGCGGCCCCACTGTCCCCCGTGCTGTCCACAGACTCGTCCTCGCTCTGCTCCGCCATCATGACCTGCTGCACCGCCAGGGTGGCGCCGTCCGAGGACAGGGACTGGAGGCTGTCCACGTTCATGCTCACGGGCGCGGTGATGGTCACGACGGCTCCTGCGGCAGGAGGGGAAAATCAGCTCCCGCGCAGGAAGACGCTCCGTCACGCGGCGGGGCGCTGTTTGCTTATGTGACCTCCGTTTCTGGGGCGCTCCACAGGGGTTGGGAAACGGCCTCTAGGATCCACCTCAGCCCTTCCTTCGCTAACACGCTCTGAACGCTCCTGGTCTACACAAGACCTCGGGTCAGGACTACAAGAACACAGGGGCACGGGGCGGAAAGCAGTTTCACAAGGAGAACAGAAGAGGCCACGAGCCCTCTAACACGCCTGTCCCCGTGCGCCTTCCGGCCTAGCAGCTGAGGGACAGAAGCTGCAGGAGCGCGAGGCACCCTGCGTCACCACACACACGGGGGCTCGTGCGCTCGTCTAGAAAGGCCTTCAGACATAGTGACGGGGGACAGCAGGAGGGGACCGCGTCGCAGGTCAGAATCGGGGAAACCCTTTTAAAAGCTTCATTCATCCCCTGTGGTCTCCGCACAGTGGGTCGTGTCAGGAGCGCCCTGGGAGCACAGACAGAAACTCGTGATGAGGATGGTTTCTGGAGAAGATCGGGGGCCAGGATGGAGGGAAAATCACTTTCCACTGGATAGTTTTGTGTGAACTTCTACCTACCCTGATATGCAGGGATCGTCTTTTCCAAGGGGGGGGGGAAGAGGGAGAGAGAACTAATACCTTCCTAACTAATTCTTGGATTAAAAGAGAAAACAGAACCTGAAAACACAAATTACTTAAATAAAAATCGAAGACCACTGCATATCAAAACCCAAACCGTGAAGGCCCAGCTGTAAACGCACGCACCACAACCGGGAAACAAAGTCAAGCCTGGTTTACAGCACAGCGTGGGGGGCCCAGCCCAGCCCTCTGGCCAGCTCGGCTGTGGGAGCCCCGCGTACATCGGGCGGAGGATGGGTCCGCACACACATGCGGGACACAGTGAAGCCCCGGGAGAGAAGCATCTGAGAAGATTCAAGGACGCCGTCCAGGCCTCTGAGAGCTGGCTGCACGGGGGGCGGGGGCCCGGGGATGGGGGGCAATCGAAAGTCTTGCCTTGGTTTGCGTAGTCAGCCCAGGACTGAGCGCCCCTGGGTCACCAAATGAGGACCAGTCACAAAGACTGTCCCAAGTAGCGTCCGTGCTAGGACACGGCTCAGGAGGACTCGCCGCCGTGCGAAAGCCCCGCCCCCAGCCAGGCGACGCTCACAGGGCCTGGTGTCAATCCAAGGTTCCCAGGCCCGCGCGCAGGCAGGGAGACAACCCTCAGTGAGGACAAAAGTCAGCCAACGGAAAGCTGCGCAGGACAGAGATGTCAGAGGCAGCGGAGGGCGTCGGAACAGTTCCTGGGACTGTGTTCTAGGAAGTGGAGCCACGAGAGGCAGAAAGGACTTCTCCGGAACTTCTGGAGATGAGCAGGACAATGTCTCCCCGAAACGCACCCGCGGTGGGCCCGGTGGCAGGTCAGCCACAGAAGAGCTCAGTGGCGCTCACAGACAGACACGGGAGCCATCAAGACGGTGGAAACAAGAAACAGAATCGCAAACGCAGGAAAGCGCACCAGTCAGGACAGATGGACAAGGGCGGTCCCTGAAGGGGTGGGGGAGGGGCGACAGAGCAGGTATTTGAGGAAATACGGGCCCCAAGGTTCCCGACGTAGCAACAGTATGCTGCTGAGGAAAATACGCCCAAGAAAGTAGGAATGAGCTCATAGCACGACTGTACACATGGAAGGACACACAGGCCCAAACGAGGCGAGCGTCGGAGGCCTGCAGCCGACATGACGCTGCTTGGTAAACACACACCAGGCGGGGACAGGACGGGTCAGAGGGGACCAGCGACAGCAGGACCAGGGCCGCGGGGGCTCCCCGACGTTTAAGAAAAAAAAAGGCAGAACAGCAGGTGGTGAGGCCGGGACAGCTCCCCGCTCCGCACTGAAGCCCGAGGGAGAAGAAACACACAAAGGGGAAAGAGGAACAGAACACAACTGGGACCCCCGGCCTCTGTCACTGGGCTCTGCGGATACGGTCAACCGCGCAGCTGCGCACGCGGGGCTCCGGGCTCCGCCCCTGCCCCGCCCAGCCCCCCCCACGGCCCACCTTCAGACACGGCCAGCTCGCTGGGGGGCGGCTGCGCAGCTCCGGAGGCAATGGAGTCGGGCCAAAACCTCTGGACCGGCCTGTTCTGAGCAGTTTTCTTCTTAGTTTTTGGGGTTTCTGAACAGCTAGAATCCAGCATGGGCTGAAGAATCCGTCTTCTGGCGTTGATGAACCTGGGCGTGGACGGGGAACGGGGAAGCGGTCGCTAGGCGGGTCCTCCTTTGGCCCTCCCACGGCCCTCCCACGGCCCTCCCACGGCCCTCCCACGGCCCTCCCACGGCCCTCCCACGGCCCTCCCGTTGAGCACGTCCTGGACCCCCGGGAGCACGACCCCACAGTCCCGACCCTCCCGGGGCAGAGGTGCTCCATCCACTCATGGTCACCTCAGTGTCGGCGGCTTTAGGGCCAGAGTGGGCCCTCGACACCCCAAGAACAGGCTAGTTATGGAGGGGCCCCTGTCTGAAATCCCTCAGCTGTGTCGGTGCTGTGACAGCGCCCCTGGGGACCCCAGACGGGACCCTGCAGCCCAAGTGGGGACCAGATCCCACACAAGCAGAGTGGCAGGAGCGCACGGTCCCACGAGGGAACATGCTTCACTGACTTGAAGGAGGTGCCTGGAAAGTCTGCCTTCTTCAGCCGGCATCTTCCCCGCACCCAGCTGGGGCCCCCGGATCTGGGAAGGCAGCGGAGCTCTGGATGACCACCCCTGCCCTCCAGAAGCTGGCGGTTGGTCCAACCGCACACTCGGAGGACACAGCTGCACCTGCCTAGGGGCAGTTCCTCCTCTAGGAATATGGCAAGGAGGGGGGTCACCTCTCACTGCAGCCGAGCCTGCTCACCCCCAGAACTGGGGCCCTCATGAGGGCGAGGATTCATGTTTGGGTGTCAGAGAAATACAAGCTCCATGGAGACTGGGGCTCTGCGCTGGTCTGCCGCCACATCCCGCTCTCCAGGCGCCCAGGTGCAGAGCAGAACTGGGGCGCACCTGCTCCCAGGACACATGAACATAGTGACACTCACGGGGCGCCTGGCTGGCCCAGTTAGAGCGTGCCACTCAGCAACTCCACCGAGAGTGAGCCTGACACCAGGTGCACAGATGACTTAAACCTAAAATCCTAGCATTTGCAACATTCTCCAGTGGAAAGGAGGGGACTGAAGCCGCAGATGGTGATCTGGTCCCTGGAGCACAAGCAAGGGGGCAGCGGCCGTCACAGGGGAGCCCTGGCGGGCCCCAGCTTGGCGCTGACCCCGCCACTGCCTGCGGAGGGAAGCCCGCTGCCGCCTCTCAGCATCTGCCTCTCCAGCCTCCTCACTCAGAACGGCCAGGTGGCAGAGGCACAAACTAAGGGGGTGTTCAAGGTCAGCCCAGCGTGGGATTTTTGTAAACGTAAAAGGAAACAAAGTCACACAAAGTAAAAGTAGCTATAAAGATGAAAAGATTTTAGAAACTTTATGCTAATCGTGCTAGTAAACTGTTATTAATGTAAAACTTAAACGCGGGGTTGCCTGGTGGCTCAGTGGGTTAAGGCCTCTGCCTTCAGCTCAGGTCATGATCTCGGGGTCTTGGGATCGAGCCCCGCATCAGGCTCTCTGCTCAGCAAGGAGCCTGTTTCCCGCACCCCCCCCCATCCTGCTTCTCTGCCTACTTGTGATCTCTGTCAAATAAATAAAATCTAAAAAAAAAAAAAAAAAAAAAAACTTAAAAGTGGGTGTCAAACCTTCCAGATCAGACAATTCTGGTTATGTGACAGAGCAGCAAGTTAGGGAGCTCGAGGAAGTTAACAGACGAGGAAAAGCAAGAAGGCTGACCAGCAACAAAAGGCATCAGGCTGTCCAGAGAAGGGACTCTAACGTCCAGCTCCAATCAGCCGACCACCCTTAGGACTGAACCGAGATGGGCAGCGTCCAAGACGCACCAGGGAATGGAAGGTACTGGGCCATTGCAAACGTCACAGCGACAACACAGTTTTTTGCTTTTTTTTTTGCAAACGCTGTTTAAAAGATTTAATAGGAAATAATCCAAAGACTCTGTATTCTTGGTCCCCAATGCTCAAACAATGGCCCAAACACAAGATTACAGATACTCACTGCGACCCGAAGCACATCCATCCGTCCTGCCCAGATTTCACGCATGTTGGGAGATTTTGTCATTTATACTGGAAGGTACCTGACCTTGCTCAAATTTAAATTTTTTTTAAAGATTTTATTTATTTATTTGACAGACAGCAATCACAAGTAGGCAGAGAGGCAAACAGAGAGAGAAGGGGAAGCAGGCTCCCCACTGAGGAGAGAGCCCAATGTGGGGCTCGATCCCAAGACCCCGAGATCATGACCTGAGCCGAAGGCAGAGGCCTTAACCAACTGAGCCACCCAGGCGCCCCTCAAATTTAAATTTTAACAGTTAAAAAGAGAACAGTGTTCACAAGTGGCAGAGTCTGTGCTTTCTTTTACGGACGCCCATTTTATTAGCCAATCCTGTTTCCCGCTCCTGAGTGAGTACAAGAGACCGACGACTGACACGCACAGCCTTAAGTGCACCCTGGACCTTAACGCCCTCCGTCATGCCAGCAGCTCTGATCTCAGAGGAGCGCATGTGGTTGGGGTCCAAGCGTCCACCATAGCATGTGACACCAAAATTACAACAGGCTACTTTATTCATGAAGTCAACCAATCCCAGGCATTTCCCTCCTAGGACCCCGAGTCCTGCTTTGGGGGTGGGACCACCATACAGACAGCCGACAGCCAAGGGGCCGCCTCCCCGACTCAGAGTTGAACAAAGAGACAAAAGTAGGGGAGCTGCAGGGGCGGGAGGGGCACCAGGGGTCAAGATGCCTCATCGCCACCAAGCACCGCCCAGGGAAGCCCATCGCCAGAAACATCACTTTCTGAATGAATGTGGCTGTCCAGAGAAGGGACCCACAATGGAGAAACTTTTTTTTGAGACTGTGTGGCCAGGTGCAAGAGGTTGGGGGGTGGGCAGAGGGAGAGAAAGAGTCTCAAGCGCCTCCACGCCCAGTGCGGAGCCCAACACGGGGCTCGATCCTATGACCCCGAGGATCATGACCTGAGCCAAAATCAAGAGCCGGATACGGAGCCACCCAGGCGCCCCCGGAGAAGCACGTCTCTAACCGGATGAGTAGGACGCAGGGGAAAGTCCGTAGTGAGGACGAAAGGTTTAAGTCGAAAGCGTGTGCTGATCTATTCTCAAATATCCTCCACCAGTTCCGGCACTCTGGGGACACAGTGCCGCCCGTTAAAAGGACTCAGCCATCTTCAACCAATCCCACTACTTATTAGAGGATTCTCGAGGCTTCCATCACGGTGACCGGCACCGTTCCGGAGGCAGGCGGCTCTTACCAGTTGTTAACTTGGAGTAGTGTCAAATTTGTCTGAGCAGCAATCTGTTTTTTCTCATCTTCTGTCGGGTAGGGGTGCTAGAAATAAAAAGAAGGGTTAGCATGACCGGCAGGGTTTAAAAGGGACTCGAGCTTATCTAGGTAGAATAGAAAGATACAAATAATCATTAGCGAAAAACTGGTAAGCAGCAACAGCGCTTTCTGCCAAAACCTCATTAGTCTTACGATTTCGTTTTAGAAACGTGTTGCAGGATGTCTCCCCCGCGCCGCCCAAGCACGCGGCAGCCAGGCGGCAGACACAGCACAGGCCAGGGCGAGACCGGGTGAGCGGCTCAGAGACGAGGCGGGGGTGCCGGGCCCACCGAGAGCCGCGCCCTGCTGTCCTGGAGGGGCCACTTCACCGAGGCCACACGGTGGAGTTCGGACCCAGCAAGCCACAGCACGGGCGTCACGCACAGTCACTTCTGTCGTACGGACGAGGAAGCTGAGGCCGGAAAGCACACATAGTCCCCATCCTCCAGCTGGGTAAGCAGAGGACGCAGGGAAAGGGCGGGGCCGGCGGCTCCCAGACTGACCCATAGGGTGACATCCTTCTGTGCCAGGCACTGGAAGAGGAAAGGGACACGGGGGTGCACAGCTGGCGGTTCAGGACCTGCCCGGGGCCAGGTCAGTGTGCGGGGTCCGTGAAGAGCTGCGCCCAGGACTGGGGCGGGAGCACCTGTTATATTCCTCTTCCTCGTATGATAAAAACATTCCACTTGAAAAAGCAGAATTAAACCGTAAGGTACATATCAAAACCGACAGAAGGACCAAAGGAATCTCTTCTATCTACGGTAACAAGCGCCTTCTCCACGGCTGATCACTGTCCACACGCAGAAGCCAGGAGGACACGGGGTCTAAAGCCTGCCTCCCTGGAGTCCCTGATTCCAGATGGCCCGGAACCCCGGAGGACACAGGGGGCAGGAGCTACCACAAGTAACACGCGGGGTGGGCAGCCATCACTTCACACGACTGGGACCGCGGGGACCATGGTTCGGGCACAGTGGCCTCCCCAGTGGCATCTGTTCCTTTGGACAGACGGCGACCGCACAGGGCCCCAGGGCGGAGACTGCGGAAATGGGAATGCCGTGCCTGCCAGTTAAGAGCCCGTGAAATGAAAGGGGGCAGGAAAGCCAAGTGCACTAAGCAGGACAAACCCCGCCATGTGGCAGAACCACCATCGTCCCATGTCAGGGAGGCCGCCAAGAGGACTGTGTTCCAAAGAAACAAGGGCCAGAAGAGGCAGAAAACGCCTCATAAGGGGGAAAAAAAAAAAAAGGAACACTTTACTTCAACCTGTGAGGAAAGTTAATTGTTTTAGGAATCATGAAAACATTCAAGGATACCGTCTGTGCTCCTAGAGTGCAGACACGCTACCCGGTGGCACTCTCCTGGGGGGGACAGCGCTGGGGGACCCTGCTGTCTCACTCGCCACCCTCTGCCTGCATCTGCCGGGCGCCCCAGTCCTCGTGTCCCATGGGAACTAGCTGTGTAACTTCCCAGCAAACAGATGGGCCCAAAACCACATACCGAGTCTTCCCACCAATAGGACGAACATCACTGAACCACTGTACCCATAATACCTTTCCCCTTTAGGACAATTTTCCAGGTGCGGCCGCACCACTCAGAGACGGCACTGTTGTCCCCAGACCCGTGCTGCCGTGGCCTGCACACAGGGATCGCTCTGCAGAGCAGGAGAGGAGAGGAGCGGGGGGTCCTAGCGCTCCAGGCGGGCTGGCCTGGGCTCCTTGAGGGCCTTCCCCCCAGGGAAAGGAAGAGAGGTCCTGTCCCCACCCCAAAACTGCTCAGCGACATCACGTGCCGTTTCCACATCTGGAGTCAGCAGCTCCTCTGACTGCTGTCTCTCGGGGAAGGAGCCTGGCATCAGTTAGAGAAAAGGGGGTGCTGGTTGGCAGTGACACGGGCTAAAGCCCAGAGACAGGGGATGATAGAGACCGGTGCCGGCCTGGGGCTGAGTCAGGGCGAGCACGGAGACCGGCACTGGGAACACATGGAGGCCCGGGGCTCAGGCAGCCGGCCTGCCCCAGGGTGGATGCGGAGGAGGGGCACCAGGACTCCCTGCTGACAGCCACGGGGGTGGGGGGGCGCGGGCTGCAGATGAGCGGGGCGGGCTGCGGAGGGAGCAGGCGGCAACCAGAGAACGAGTGGGGGCCAGGGAGGCCGAGGGGCACCGATGCAGCGCGGCAGTCGAGAGCAGCAGGAGGCCGGGGCTGCGGAGGGAGGCCAGCACCACCGCAGAGCAGGCTCCCGAGGCTGCCGGGCGGCTCCCCGCTGGGCTTCCTGACCTTTGTAAGGGCCTACTTAGCCAGAGAGAGCCATTCTGTTGTTTATGCAGTAAACTGAGATTGACCCTGCCCCCCCAGAGGAACTTGCGTAGAAACAAGTCTGGGAAACCAGTAAAATGTGACTGACCAGCCCCTGATAACAGAGCCCATATACCAGGACGTGTCAGGTCAGGGGGAGGTAACAGAGCCCAGAATACAAGGATGAGCCAAGCCAGGTGGAGATGTCCAACCAGGAAAGCACCTCCCTAACCACCCAAGAATGTGGGCCCTGCCTTTTGGGTGCCAATTCTGACCAGAGTGATAGGCTAGTTCGAATAGCTACTATGGGTGAATTATAATTCAGTTGGCCGCCTGTGCGTGGCCAGGCTCGACCGCATGGCCTTTGCTCTGTAAAAGTTAGTCTGTGAGACTGGGAGGGGTCGCCTCTTTGTAAGAGACGGCTCTGGCCGATCAGTTTGGTCCTTGATGCTTGGCGTGAAATAAAGCTCTGCTTGATCTTCGCTTTGTATCAGTCTCTCTCCTTTGACCATGGAACCAACAACCTTCCGTCCCTCCGGGTACAGAAAGGCCACTGCATCTGTGCCCACACGCCCCTGCGGGCTCCTCTGTCCGCCTGGACACGACAGGCAGCGGCCACTTTCCTGCCTCAGTCTCACCGCACACTCCCCTAAAAGCCAACCTGGCCCTTCCTGACCCTGGCCACCAGACGGGGTGGTCCCCAAGCTGCTCAGGGTCACATGCGTCCCCGAAGCTCAGCAGCAGGAGGCCTGAGGGTCTCAACTCATGAGAAGCAAGTCTTGCCCAGTAAACGGGCGAGCGAGCGTGTGCTTGCTAAGACAGGACACCCCCACAGAGAAGGTGTGGTCGCGACCCGGGGGAGCCAACAGGTGCGCGGACACAACGTGTGTGCGCCGGGTCTGTCTGCGGGGCCAGACGCCATCTCAAGTTCAACAAGCTCGTGTGTGGGCCCCTCTGTCCACAGCTCAGTCTTTGACCTTACCACACTCTCTGCTCAAATCCAATATCTAAGACGTCACTGTTTTCCCAGGTTTTGCCCAAACTCCTCTTCTCTCTGCCCACTTCTTGAACCTCAGCTCACTGGGTCACCCTTTGTGGCATGGAGGTGATTAGCAGGAGTGGAAAGGACTCCCTGGTCGGCAGTGGGGCCCTCCCGACTAAGTCCCTGAGGCAGAGACCCCCAGAGCGTGGTCACCCTCCTCTGTCCCAGGTCCCTCCCTAACACTGAGACAGTCAGCGGGACAGCCATGCCCGACGCAGAGTACGCTCTTCACAGAGAGGAAGCGGAGGGGAAGCGCCCTGGGGTGCTGCTGCTGGGGTCCCTGCACTCTTACCCCGATGTGCTGGAAGAGCCACGACCGCATCACGTTGGTGGCGTGCTTCGGTAGAACGCCGCGTTTGTTCTTAGAGGAGCCGTCATCTTGATGCAAGATGCTCAGGTCTTGGTTTAACTGCAACTGGAGCTTTTAAACGATGGAAAAATAACGTTAGAAAGTACAGAAAATCACGACATATGCGAGTGGCTCGCGACTTCAGATGGACAAAATACCCAAAGGTCTTATGGATAAATGACCTGCCGACCTCAGAGGGGGTGGGCTGAGCCCCACGAGCTCACCTGTGGGGGCGGCGCCCTCTGCAGTCTCACTACGGACCCCACCGTCTCCCGGGCAGCGGTCCCCCATCCAGCAGGTGAGACCGGAGCCCAGAGGGCCTCGGAGCCACTACCCGGCAGACACGTGCGTCCCACGGCCCTGGCACCCACCATGTGTTTTCACCTCATGCCCTCTAGTCACAAACGTGACAACACGTGACAACATCCACTCCCCTAGCCGAGGATCCCCGGCGATCGGTAGAAACGGGCAGGAAGGCGGAACGGCAGCCAGCGAAAGGCGGCCGTGTGGGCTGAGCAGACGGGAGACACAGACGCGCACACAGTGTGGACACAGGGCACAGGGCAAAGGGGCCGTGGTGCCCACCCTGGGCCTCGGCCCCGAGGACAGTATGGGCACATTCTGCCCATTTCCGGCACGCAAGGCACTTCTCACGTGTGTGTCTTTCACACCAACAGAAGAAGGCGTCAATGGGTCAGCCCCGCGGGCCCCAGGCACTGCAGCTCACACCCGGCCTGCCTGTGCAGACGGCAGCGCCCACGACCCGGGCCAGGAGGAAAAGCCCCCGCGCTCCCCAGGACCTCGGCACAGACGCTCGGGGACATCTCTGCGGCTGTGCACGCATGAATTCGGAACTTAGCGTAGGAACCGGCCTTGGTAAGGAAGAAGGTCAGCTTCAGCGTAACTATCCACAGACACAGCGGTGAGTGCTTGGAACATGGTTTTGAGGAGGTCACTGTGTTGTCTGTACTTCCCCGGGCCGTGCAGCGCTTGGAAAGGGTACGCTCTCTAAAAGCCTCAACAGTGACACGGAAACGGACACCATTTATGACTCACGGAAGCACGGAGACACTAGCTGTATCTAAAGTGTCTCGAAAATCAAGACTATCATTAAGGGCATAAGTGTTTTTTGAAATGTGCTTCTCTGAAAGGACCGAAGCGGTCGGCATCAAGCAGCCTCCACGCTCGCGTTTGTGCGCACGGGAAAAAGAACAGGAAATGAACTTGGAGTACGAGCTCCAAAGCCACGGGGCCAAACCTCAGCTCTCCTGCCTTGTTTGTTTCAGTTACTATACGATGTTCTTCATGAGACTTCACACGCGCTCGGTGTTGCCTGTTTTGTGCGGGGTTAAAGCAAACGCGGGCTCAAGGCAGGTGCGGTGACAGCCGCCTGCGTGACTCGCCCCCACAGATGCGACTAAGGGGCCCGAGTGCCAACGAGGCTGTGAGGAAGGCAGGCCACGGGCCTCTGCGTAGAACGGCCGCTGGCCCTGCTGAGCCCCGGCAAAGCCGGGGACAGGACAAGAGGGGGTTAAGGGCCCGGGCAAGCGGCTGCAAGTCCATTTCCATAGCGAGAGCCCCCGCCCCGACCCTTCCCATCCTTCTCTGCAGATGACCGACCCACCCCTGCAGGAGACCAGGGACACATGGGGCACAGCTGCACAGTGGGGGGGGCAAGGCCAGAAAGGGGGTAAGGGGAGTCTGCACGCAGAATGGGAGACCCCGGCCCATCCCCGCCCTTGCAAGCAGGCCTACGCCGGCAAGAGGTCCGAGAGCCCTTCTCTGGAGACGTGGAGTAGAGGAAGCCTCCGGGGCCAGCCTGTGCACCGCCCCGGCCACGCACGCAGCGGCTTCTGGCAACTCGTGGGGACAGTCCTGAGGACAGCCAACTGTCCCCAGACACCGGAGGGCTGCCACCACAAACCGCAGGCACCCGCGTGAGTGAGCACGGAGATGCAGAGGAGAGAGAAGGCGGACGCTACAGACAGCTCGGCGGCCCGCGAAGCCAAAATGGGGGCTACTTCGGAAGACAGCGCAGCGGGCACGGAGGCGTCTAGGAAACCCAGCCCGCACGCAGGGGGCGCAGAAGGAGCCCGCTCAGAAGGCCGACGGCAAGACAAATACGAAATGACACCAAAACGCAGAGATTCGGTTCAGAAGGTCTAACGGGCTCGGGCTGGGGGGCGGGGCTGTCCCAGAGACGTCCAGGAGAGGACCCCCCGCAACCCGCACCCGTGGACGTGAGGTCTGCCGGGGCTCAGCAGCAGCTCAGAGAAGAGGCGTCTGAGAGCAGAGAACACAGCAGATGGGAAAGCAGCAGCGGGACCTCCTCCCACGGCGACGTGGAGGCTGGAGCCCCCGACACCATGCTCCCCGCCCCCACCGACGATTTTATCCGGAAACCCTACTCGTAAGCGGACTGCGTCAAGTACGAGACCAGAAAAAAGTCATCTTCAGGTTCACGTCGCAACAAAACGTAGTTCCCACGCACATCTCCCCTGGGAGTTCTCCAAGTGGGGAGTGAAGCCGACAAAGTAGAGGACAGAGGCTCTAGAAGAGACTCCTCAAGGCGGCGTCAAAGGGAAGTTCAAGAACACGCCCTGTGCCCAGCCTGGATGGAGAAGAGCCCCGACAAGAGGAGGCGGAGAGCTTCTGGGGCCACGCGACACTGACACATGCCTTCTGAACAGCGGGGCGCCCAGGGCTCAGCCAGCTGTGGCCACCGCACCCGGAGAGCCAGGCCAGGGGCGAGAGTAAAGCGCTTGTGACTCGGCCTGAAACACGTGAACCAGAGAAGCCCTGCGATCTCGGCTACACACTCAGCTCACAGAGACCAGGTGAGGCTCATGCTGACGACAGGTGTGGCTGCGCGGTGAGAAGCGCCAGTGGGATGGGGCGGGGGGATGGGGACGGCACAGCCCGGGGTGGGGGTCGTAGGGTGGGATAGGAGCACAGGCCCCGACCGCAGACAGAGAATCCAAACCAGGTGCTTCAGGGGTGAGTTAGGAGGGAGGATTTTTAGTTAGAAATGGGAGGAAAGCAGAAGGATCGGAAAGCAGCTGCCCGAGCGGAGAGGAGAACGGGGCAGGGCAGCTGGTGGTTTGCTCCAAGCCTCTTAGCACGATGCCTGCTGAGCCGGACACACAAGTGGATATAAAAAAGCCAAATAAGGGGCACCTGGGGGGCTCAGTCATTAAGCAGCTGCCTTTGGCTCAGGTCATGATCCCGGGGTCCTGGGATCGAGCCCCGCATCAAGCTCCCTGCTCAGCGGGAAGCCTGCTTCTCCCTCACCCACTCCCCCAGCTTGTGTTCCCTCTCTCTCTGTCTCTGTCAAATAAATAAATAAAATCTTCTTTAAAAAAAAAAAAAAGGCAAAATAAGAGTTAAATGGAGACAAAAAACCTTGTCATAGGCCAAACAATAGCAAAAACCTAAAACACGTAAATGACAGTCATACAAAGGAGAGTGTCCCGGGAACCGGGCGGGGCTGCGGGAGGGAGAGGGCGTCAGGGAAACGCCCAGCCGCCTCTCTTCTCCCGAAAATTTGTTCTGAGAAGCAGAAACAGCTTCCTACAGAGATGCCCCAGGAAGATGCCAAACCCTGCCCCTCCTGACAGGCTCTAGGTCAGAATGGGGCCCACGGTAGCCAATTCTTTTCCGGGGGAGAGGGGCAGGGTTACTATCCACCCCACGTGCGCCCACAACGCACCCAGGCACAGTGCAGGACAGGGCAGGTCGGGGACAGCCCGGGAGGGACTGCCACCACACTGCTGCCGTGGACGGTGCTGGCCAGAGTGACGGCGTGACCCGGGACGGACAGCGGTCTTCCCGATAAAACCAACCCTGATGGTTTCTGACACTAAAGCAGACAATGTCACTGGTTCAGTTACTCTCCCCAATTACCTGAAGCCCGGTAAGAACCAGCCCCCTACAAAGAAAAGAAAAAAAAAAAAGGGAAGAACAGAGCCAGAGCAGCCCAAAGAGCTACAACAAAAACCACGCGGACCACGCACAGCTCATACTCAAAGAAACCCGCACCCGGGCCCCCCGGCAAGCTGTTCACGCTTCTGCTGCAAACCCGGGGTAGCTCGTGTCTCCGGCTTCCTGGCCCTGCCGCCCTAGAAGCCAGACTCGGCAGGAGCGTGACAGGGAGGGGACAGACGCACAGTGGGCTTGAACCACGGAGCGCCAAGGCAGAGACAGCCCACAGGCCGCAGGGAAGGGAGCTGTGTCCCTGTCTGCCCAGCAGTCCTGGGGAGGGTCACGTGCATGTTCCGCATCCAAAGGGGTTTTACTGAAACACAAGCTCTGTGTGTCCCCTGCTAAACTAGTCCTCTCCCTCTGTACGAAAATTCAGGCAAGTAGAAAACTTTCTCCTTTTTATTCCTTAAAGACAGATTTATGTATCTGAGAGAGAGAGAGCGAGCACGCGGCAGGGAGGGGTGGAGGGAGGAGAGAGAATCCTAAACAGACCCCCTGTTGAGTGCAGAGCCCAAGACGGGGCTCGATCTCACGACCCTGAGACCAAGACCTGAGCCAAAATCAAGAGTCAGAGGCTTAAATGACTGAGCTACCAGGTGCCCCGGAGAACTTTCTTCTTAAGCAACACAAGGAAGGCACCTCACTCTGAACTGTGTCTCTCTAAAAGCTCCCTGTGGTACCAGGAGGCGCTCATGCTCGCCACCGTGCTGAATGGGGAGCTCCAGGGACAGCGGGTTGGCTGGGGATCTAGGGACGATGCTGGTGGAGTCCAGCTCCTCCTCTACCCACGGCTGGGCCTGGTGAGACCCCGTGTGCCCAGATGACAAGGCCCCCAGCCCCAGCTCAACTCTGTCCAGGCAGCGAGAGGCAGTAAGCCCTGGGTTGGCAGCGCCAGCCCATGCGCCACCCCCCCCCCACCCCAGGCCCTGTGGCCTCTGCTGCCTGCTCGCAGGAGACCAGCATCTCCGGAGCTGGGCCTCCAAGCCGCCCGGAGGCTGTGGGAAACCCCTGTGCAGGCCAAAGACAAAGAACTAACAGAATCTAGGGGCGCCCGGGTGGCTCAGTGGGTTAAGCCGCTGACTTCGGCTCAGGTCATGATCTCAGGGTCCTGGGATCGAGCCCCGCATCGGGCTCTCTGCTCAGCGGGGAGCCCGCTTCCCTCTCTCTCTCTGCCTGCCTCTCTGCCTACTTGTGATCTCTGTCTGTCAAATAAATAAATAAAATCTTCCAAAAAAAAAAAAAAAAGAAGAACTAGCAGAGTCTGTATTCCTAAATGTGAGCGGGTAAACCCAGCTAAACGCGGAAAACAAAGGGTGCGTGCATGCCCATGACCCGCGGCGGCGGGCGGAGCGCCGAGCCCCTCTCCCCACACGGGCACAGAGAGAGCAGCGCGAGCCGGGCCAGTGGAGAGCGGCTCGTCCACCTGCAGCTTTGGCTCGCGAAGCTCCTTCCTGTGCTCTTGGAGCCGGGGCTCCCCGCGAGGCCGCCAGCCGAGGGCAGGACGAGCCCAGCAGCCTCCTCTTCGGGCAGGGCCTCCGCTGGGCCACGGAGAGTGGGGAAGAGGCAGCCCGGACTGGGCTTTCCCGTAGGCTGGGGGAGGGCATTCAGGAAGGGCCCCGCCACCCCCAGGACTGGCCTGAAGCGGCGCTTTGGCCCCCCACGTGCACCAAGAAGGGCCTGGCCATGGTCTACGGGGTCTGCGGTTGGCAGACCTGGGGCGGAAGAGCCCATCCACGCGGCCTCGAATCTTCCGAGCCAGAGACAGCTACGCAGTCCACTGTTCAGTCGGACGACAGTGGCTGCTGAGGGAAAGGGGTCAGGGCTGACTTTTTTCCGGCTTCCTTACACTTTCTGAACTTGGAGACTTTGTTGCAACGAGAGAGACAAAGAGTAGATGAGGGATGGCGCGCTGACATCGAGATGACCTGCAGACGGCTATGGGAAAGCTGGCCGAGACCGAGGTCTTCAGGCCGAGGAACAGCTCCCGCCAGGACCCGCTGTTCCCCCCATGGCGCCACTCAGCCCCAAACCCGCCCGCGGGAATGACATACGCACCTGGGAGTTCTGGATCCTGATCGTGCCGGGCGACAGCGCTTGTGTCACTACTTGGCCTTGAGGGGTGACGACTGTGACAGGCTGGTACACGGTGCCACCTCAAGAAGGAAGACATTAAAAGACTCTTAAGTCTCAAGGATTTAAAACCATATTCTCGATATACTCAACGCGCGTATGGAAGGAATAAAACCTCCAGTCTGACGCGGTTTTTAAACTATTCCAAGTGATCAGTACTTTGCTGGTGGACCTGTCACTGCAAATTATTAAAACAACGTCCCTGGACAAACAGCGTCCTGACATCTATAGTGAGGCCTGGCTCTGGGCAGGGGAGGGGCACCGTGGGGGGACATGGTACTGTCACACGTGGGGTGTGTGGGCCCCTGGACAGGAGGTATGGCATCGTGCGGGGAAAGAGGGGTGCTGCGCAGCAGAGCGGGGCAGTGTGCGGGGGGGAGGGGCAGAACGGTTGGGAGGGCAGAGCAGTGTTCCGGGGCGCAGGCACAGTGTGGGGGTGCACAGTGTGGGGCAGGCAGCAAGGTGTCCCACCGCACAGGGCACAAGGGCATCCTTGGATTCTGCAATTCCCTCTTCTGTCTGCCTCGATTTCCTCCTTTCCCCACAGTTACCAGTATTAAAGGACCCGGCAATGGTGTGAAATATTTTTTATCGTCTTTTTTGATCAAACATGCGTTCATCTTCCCGCGGAGGTTTCCCTGCACACTATCACACGAGGCTTTTCGGTGTAAGTTTTTCCCCTCCTTACACGCCTCAGTGCACTCTCACGACGATGTTGCATTGGCGATGTTCGACACGCACCAGGGAACCGCAGAACCCGTACCCCTCCCGCGGTGGGCTTCACTATACTAAGAACGGATTCTTGTTTGTCAAATGTTAATGACGCCATCTAAGCTTGTCCAGGTGCTGCGAAGAGCCCAAGGAACAACGACGTCACCTGCAAACCACAGCGGGTTTTGCTGTATGTCGTCAACTCCTACAGAAAACCTTCCTTCTCAAAATCTTTCGGTAGAGAAACACAGCTTGCGTACACTGTTTGTTACTGGGAATTAAAACAAGGAAGATGCATTCAGTTCTAAGGGCTCTAGATGTTGCCACGCCTATTTCAGGAACCGGCATTGATTAGAAATTATACTGGCGCACTTCTCCGTTCTAACAGGAAGGCCTTTTCCACAAGCGCTCAAGGCAAGAGCCAGCATACCTGCCACCGTCGCCATGGTGACGTTCCCCTGTTGCAGCGCAGACGCCGGCACCACGATTCCCTGGGGGCTGAGAGTGCCTGAGATGGCGCTTTGAATCTGCTGTAAGTCAGAGACACACAGTGAGGGGCTGGAGGAAAACGGAAAGGGCTCCTTCCGCATCTGCAAACCAGGAGATCCAAGGCTGCCCCGGCATCACATACGATGGTTCTGAGATACTGGCTTCAATCTGGCTTTCAAAAGGTTACGTTTCAGCTTGTCATCATATGACTCATCACCAAAGAGGCGAGCCCCCTGGTGTTCCTGCTTGTGGAGGGCTTGGTCTGGGCCTGGCCTGCAGCAGGTTCCACGAAAACCGCACCCAGATCCCAGCCATCTGAAGTCGGGTACAAACGGGCTCATCTACCTGTTCACCGTGACGGCTGGGTTGGCGGCTGCAAGGGGAGGAAGCTGTGCACCTGGCGTGCAGGCACCTGGGCAGCTGAACAGCGCTGGTGGCGACCACGCAGAGACAATTACTCTGCAGGCTGCCGCATCAACTTGGTTAGAATAAAAGTTAATTCATCCCAATCAATAATCCAATCTCCCACCACGGAGAACCGAAACACGGAGGAACAAAAGGAAACCAAAGCAAGCAGAAGGGAGGACGTGAAAAAGATCAAAGCGAAATCAACAAAGCTGAAAACAGAAAACCAGAGAGCAATGAAAACAGAGCTGGTTCTCTGCACGATCAGTAGATTGGTAACGTCTACAAGACGCGGGGACGACAAAGGGAGACGACATATTACCAGGACCAGGAAGGACACAGAGGGCACCGCACACCCTACACCCGGCAGCAGGCGAGACAGGCCACAGCCACTTGTCACGTGAGCCTCTGCCGTCTGAGAGGGGAGCTTGTGTGAAACAGGCCATCTGATCAGCCCTACAACCATGAAGGACACCGAATTCGTGACTTAAAAACTCAAAAAAGAAATCTCCAGGTCCAGCTACTGTCACTGAAGAATTCTATCCGACATGTAAAGTAGTAACACCAATTCTACGTAGTCACTTCCAGAAAACAGGAAAGGAGGGAATAATACTCTTCTGCTCACTTTATAAAGCTGTACTATCCTGGTACCAAACCCGGATGGAGACCGTAACAAAAAGGAAACCACAGACCAGCATCCCTTGATGCAGACACAAACGCTTGACAGCATACTAGCCAACCCAACTCGGGAGGCCACATGAAAAGAACTTCGTGCCATGCCCAGGCGGAGTTTATTCCAGCTCAGTATGCAAAAAAATGTAATCAACTACCACGTTAATAAAAGAAAGGAGAAAAATCACATAATCCTATTAATTCACGCAGGGAATGCATTTGACAAAACGCAACATAACAGCAACTCTTAGAAAAACAGGAATAGAGAGGAACTTCTTCAACCGGATGGACAGCATCCAGGAAAAACCTGCCACTAAAACTATAATTAATAGTGAAAGGCAGAATGTTTTTCCCTAAGACTGGGGAAAAGGCAGGACGTTCACTTTCACCAACGGTATTCAAGACCGCACCAGGGGCTCCTGCCAACGCAGGAAGGAAAGACAAGGAAACGGGCGCACAGCTCGGGAAGGAAGGACTAAACGGTTCCCGTCCGCAGCTGGCAACGCTGCACAGGTGAGACATTGTCAGGAAGCTGTGAACACGGCCTCCTAGAACTAAGAAAGGAGTTCTGCAAGGTTGCAGGATGCAGGATAAACATACAAAATCAACTATTTCTCAATATTAGCAGGGACACTGAAGTTAAAAACATAACACCACCTGTAACTGCTTTAGAAAAAGAAGAAGAAACACCGAGGTGTGAGTCTACAAACACGTGCGTGGGGGCCTCACAGCACGAAACTACAGAACAGCACTGAAAAACGACAGGGGAGGGAACGGAGAGACATGCCGGCCTGTGCGCTGGGGGAACGGACGGAGGGAAGACCTCATTTCTCCCCAGGACGATACGCAGGCTGAATGCGATTCCTACCTAAACCCCAGCAGCACTTTTTTGTTGATACAGACAAGATGATTCCAAAACTTCTATGGAAATGACCTAGAATAACTAAAATCCCTTTGGAAACGAAGACTACAGCGGGAGGAACCCGTCTACCGACATGTGAGGCTTGTTAGATAGCTCCGGTGTCCCGACCAGCTGCTGTCCATACACCGATCAGCGGACCTGAACAGAGACAGATGGACACAAACACACCCGACCGGCTGCCCCCAGTGTCGTAAAAGCACTTTGAGGGAGGGACCGGAGCAGACGGTGCCGGAGCACCGGGCCGCCAGACGCAGAGCAAAGAACCTCGACCTAGACCCTCTCACTTTATACCAAAGTTAACTCAAAAGGCTCCTGGATTTAAATGTGAAACATAAAACTTGCAGGGAAAAAAAAAAACCAAAAAACAAAACAAAAAACCTAGAGAAAATTCCTTGGGACCTGGGGCCGGGCAGAGTTCTGGGACTTCACGCCAAAAGCAGAGCTCATCAAAGAAAAGTTGACGAAAGGACTTGATCAAAATTTAAAATGTTTACAATGCAAAAGGCCCTGCTAAGAGGATGAGAAGATAAGCCACGGGCCGGGGAGAAAACCTTCACAAACCATCTAGCTCACGAAAGACCAGTATCTAGAACACACTGAGCAGTGAACAGTTTAAGAAAACCCCATCAGAAGATGGGCAAAGCCGTGAGCGGACGGACAGGCAGCGGACAAGCTCGGGAAAGATGGCCAACACCATCAGGCATCAGGAAGACCGAACCGTGAGCACGACGCGATGTCACTATGGGCCACAGCACAGCTCATGGGTAATGGCGCTCCGACGTGCGCCCACCTCGAGGACGTCATGCCCGTGAAGCAGGCCAGACACAAAAGGACGAATGCGGGGGGTCCCCTCGCGTCGGGTACCTGCCCTGACCAGGCTCACAGGGAGTAGAATGGTGGGAGCTGGGCCGGGAAGAGCGGGGAGCTGGCACTCCAGGGGGGCGGCGTTCCAGCCTGAGAAGATGGAACGTTCCAGAGACGGCTGGTGACGGCTGCGCAACACCGTGAACACGCTCAATGTCACCCGACAGTCCAGACGGGACCTTCCGGGACACGTGTGTTTTACCACGACTTCCAGAAATAATAAAACCTTATTTTAAAGAAAAAGGAAAGCGATGACGGGTTCTCCGTCCTCCAGACGGCCGGGCTCCAGGGTCCGCCGGGCAGATGGAGGCCTCAGCCCACGACGGCACGAAGCCCAGAGCGCCGTCCCGGCCCCGGAAGGCCGTGAGAGCCCGGGCCCTCTGGCGGGGCTGCTGGTCTCAGGAGGCGGCACCGTCGCCGTGCGGACCGACCTTACCATGTCCGCGAAGCCGAGCGGGACCCAAACAGATACCTGGGACCGGCCGGGGGAGTACGGGCTTCCGGGCTCTCCACTCAGCAGGGTCTCGCTGTTCATTTTCGTCTTCAGACAAGCGATGTATCGACTGCAGAAGTCTTTGCACAGTTCATTAACCTTTTCCAGCTCGAGAAGATGGATACGCAAAACCTGGATTGCTTTCACCATCTAGAAGCGGAGAAAGCGAAAGACCCTCAAACGAGAAGCGGCCGCGTCCCGCAAGCTTGAATTCTCAGCACGAAGCCTCCCCTCGGCTCAGCCTGGGCGCCGCAGAGCCACGGCCGTCTGCAGGGCTGGCGACAGAAGGGGCATTACGTCCAAACCACGTGGAACGACAAGTCATCCCAGCGCCACGGGCCTCTGGCATCTCGGCTGCATCTGCTATGCGGGGACACGGATGGTCCCCCTGCCGCCCTCGGTGAGTCCCAGCGCCGGGAGACGGCCCAGCCTCGGCCCGGCCCCAGCGCTGCCCCGTTCCACAAGAGCAAGGCCCTCACCCTCCCTGTCCTCCCGTGTCTCCCTCGGTCCCTCCGTCAGTGGGGACGGATCCACACCCACAGCACAGGCGGCTCTTTTTTTCGATAAAACTCGACTTACCGACTCTGCCTTTGATGGACTGTGCTCCCGGTGTGAAGCCTGAGAACTTTGGCCCTAGCACGACGTCAGCCCTTTAAGATCTAAAAGTTCTACTGTGACTTTATTAAGTCACTAAGTTTCGGGGTAACCCGCCCCACAGCTGCAGACTCCGCTCTGTCCCAATAAGCACCACATGCCTGTGAATCCACAGCCCAAAGCCCAGCCCCTCCCGCTGGGGCCCTGGTCACACACCTCGAATGCACTTGCGAAGGAACCAGCCAAGCCCTGCTTGGCCCTCTGCGGGGACACCAGTCAGGAGAGCCTGGGTCCCCTCCTCCGGCTGTCCCTGCGGCCACGCAGTGGTGGCAGTGTGACAGATTCAGAGGCCGAGCGAGCTTCTGATCCTCACCCCGAAAGGGCGGGCACCTGGAGGCCACTTCAGGCCAGACGGCGCCCCGGGACAATCCGTCAGGCACGGAGGTTGAATGCACAATGAGAAGTTAAAAACCGACAAAGACCCGGGACATTTATTCAGGAAAAGATTTCCTAAAGACTCTCTTCTGCGGATAGGGGCCCTGACCCCAGTTTGGGGCTGGGGGTTAGCAGGATCTAAATGCAGCCCGGGGAAGGGGTGTGCCCCCGACTTGGGCTACTGGTGCTCCACTGCCCTGAGGGGTGCGCAAGCAACGCTGACACTGACCACGTCTGCCCGTCCTTCAGCAAGGGCCGTAGGGCACCCGACTGGGGAGGAGGGCACCCGGCCGAGGCGGCACGGCTGGGGCGAGCAGTGAGGAGCATGGGAGACCGCTATGCAGGCCACCCTGCTCTGTGTGCAAGGGCCTCGAGTCTGCACACAGCCACCCGCCACCACTCACGGCCAGCCTCCAGACACAGCACAGGGACGTGTGTCCGTGGCTGCGGACAAGCCCAGAACTGACAGGGACACGGGCATGCTGCCTGAGAAGCGCGGCACAGAAGCACACCGACCCCAAGGGACTTCACCGATACTAGGGGGGACCTGAGTCCCCAGCCCTCTGGTGGCACAGACACAGACGAGCTCCTCTGAGCCCTCGAGAGAGATCACTGGGGAAGGCTGGGAGACGTGGGGTCACACCCAGGTCACACATACGGGAAGTATTTCATCAACTCCTGGATTCCCTCCTTTAGCACAACTACATTCTCAAGTCCTGATTACAAGTTTCAAGTTCACTGAACAGATTTTAAATTTGGAATAAATAAAGAATAAGAATGAAACATTTCTTTTACTTACTAAATTGTCAGTTTCCGGATCTTCACAAAAGAAGGGTTTCCCTTCCTTCTCCTGCTTCCGCACAAAATTTTCGATGTCCACATCGAAGCTGGCGGAAGTCGTGCCTTCGGAGCCCTGCGTGGACTGTTCGCATTTTTCAAACAGCAAAGCTAATAACGGAAACAGCGGGTGCCTGGGGGACAGAAAGAGTAAAATGGGCGTCCCACATCCCACACGTGCACGCGAGTGTCTGAGGGCGCGTGCGCGCATTCACTGTCGAGACCTCGCTCTCATGCTCCAGCTTATCCGCCGCCGTGGATGAGCCGAGGGGGGTCTCCTCTGCTCACGGAGGGGAGCAGCCATCACCAAGGGCCACCCGACAGCACCTTCATCAGCCCGCAGCGATCCTGCAGCCATCAGCGGTCGCTGCCCGTCTCCCCCCAAACCCCAGCCCCGGCCACCACAACCGATTTTCTGTCTCTCTAGGCTGGCCAGGGTTCTAGGCATCTAAACGGAATCACACAACACACACCCTTCGGCATCTAGCTTCCCGCACTCAGCACGGTGTCTTCCAGGCTCCTCAGCGCTGGCACATGGGTCACTACCTCGTTCCTTGTTGTGGCTGAATGATACGCCAGGGTATGGACAGACCAGCTTCATCAGTTTAAAATTTACAGTAGGATCTATACTCTAGATCTTACTTTTGAGTAAACTTTTTTTTTTAAAGATTTTATTTATTTATTTGAGAGAGAGAGAGTGCACAAGCAGGAAGGAAAAGCAGGCTCCCCGCTGAGCAGGGAGACTGATGCAGGGTTCGATCCCAGGACCCTGGCATCAGGACCCCAGCGATGGTAGAAGCTTCACCCGCTGAGCCCCCCAGGCACCCCTTGAGTAAACTTCTGTACAAAACGTGAGAGCACATTGAGGATCTTCTTTCGGCATGTGAATGTCTAATTCTTCCAATACCATTTGTGGGAAAGTCCGCCTCTACCCCACGGAACTGTCTACACCTTTGTCAGATCCACTAAATCACATTCTGGTACATCTAGTTCTGGACTCTCTATCAGTGATCTGCTCCTATCCCTTCACCACTGTCACGGCATCTTCATTACTATGACGCCACAGAATGTTTCCAGATCCAACTTTATTCTTTTTCAACACTATTTCGGCTGGTCTAGTTATTTTGCCTTCCATATAAAATTCAAAATTAATGTGTCTACATGTAGAAAACTATCCTGCTAAGGCTTTAATTGGAATTATGCTAACTCTACAGGTCGATTTCAGGAGAAAGGACATCTTTACTATGTTGAGTTTTCCAATCCATGAACATGGTATGTGTCGCATGTAGGTTTTCCTTGATTGCTGGCATCAGCATCTTATAGTTTTTCAGCATAAAGTTTCTGTGTTTTGTTAGACTTATACCTAAATGTTTCGGAGCTCTTGTAAACGATACTGTCTTTTTAAATTCTCAGCTTCCCATTGTATATTACTGATACAGAAACGGGATTGTTTTCTGTGTGTTGTCCCTGTAATGAGTGACCTTACTAAACTCACTTACCCAGTTCTGGAAGTTTTTTGGTAGAGTCTTTGGGCTTTTCTATACAGACAATTGTGTCGTTTGTGCACAGAGCCAGCTTCATGTCTTCCTTTCTAATCTGGTATGCCTTTTCTTGCCTTATCGCACTGGCTAGGACTTATATTACAGTGCCGAACTGGGCTCCTTTTGCCCGGTCTCAGAGGAAAACAGTCTCTGGCCATCGAATATGATGAGAACTACAGATTTCCTGATGTTGCCCTTCATCAGGTTAGGAGAGAGACCCTCGATGACCACCTTGCTGACAGTTTTGAATCATAATTAGCTGCTAATTTTTGTCAAGTGCTTTTCTGTGTCACTCGGTATGATCATGTTGGGGTCTCGCCGGCTGATCTTTTGACAAATGATTCAGTTTGAGTTCTCGGGATAAACTCCACTTGGTGAGTGTATGTCATTCTTTTTATATGTCACTGGATTTAATGTTTTATTAATGACTTTTATGTTTAAGTTCCTGAGACACACTGGTGTGTACTTTTTTTTTTTAAAAAACTGTCTTTGTCTGGCTTTAGTATCAGAATGATGCGTTGGGAGCCATTCCCTCTTTGTTTACTGGACTCTCCTGAAAAAATACCTGGGCCTGAAGATTTCTTTTAGCAAGGCTGACTAAAATGTACATTTATATTCCAAAACTTTTTTAAGGTATCAGGAATGATATCTTAATTTGACAAACTTCTCACCCCTGTGGTTATCACGTCAAACCTTACTACTCTGCCTAGCTGACAGCTCTAGCGTTCCACTTAACAAGGCTCTCGATCCCTCTTATTGCTGTTAAAACCCCCGTGCGTCGCATCTCGTCGCTACCTATAAATGGCCTGCTTGTCCGCGTCCATTGGCGTCTGGGACCCCACGGGTGGGGGGCTTACTCCTTCCACATCGGGCTCAGAGCAGTTGGGGTCTTGCTCCGTTTTTAACTCTGTTACTACTTGCATCTGTGAAAGGAGGAGGAGAATTCTGATTACTAAACACAAAATAAAGAGCTACAAAGTACTCGACTCTCAAACAGGAACAGAAATGCAACAGGAGCGGAAATTGCCGGACGGCTGGATGACTGGCAACAGTATCTAGAATCTACAACCAACAAAACTCCTCTGAACTTAATACCTTTTGCAAATGGCTAAGACAAAGTAAAATTTCCAAATCATCGTGAAAGCCGTGAGGACCGGTCTCCGTGAAATGCTTATGATTTTCAGAAACATACTACTGCCCAGCACTGAAGGGACAGGGCACATGAATAATGTCACTGCTGTCCCTTCCTGCCCTAGAGGCTCACACCGAGTAACACTACAGTAAGAGAAGCACACACGAGGAGTTCATACTCTTACCTTGTCACGAAAACAACTCAGACCCCATATTCTAAATTCTCCCCTATCTACTCTTGAATTTGAGAACACATAAGCTATCCAAAGTTTGAGAAAAGAGTCACTGTGCAGAAAGCGCTGTGTTTCAAGAACTTGTATTAAACGTGAGAGGAAGCCCTAGAGATATTACCAGTTAAATTCCTTTCAGCTAGCTATTTGGTTTGTAACTTAGGTGTAAAGTATTTAAACCCATCAGCATGAGGAATTCAGTTCACAGAAAGAAATCCCAGATCGCTGCAGGAAGCTCGAAAGGATCCGCAAGCAGATGGCCAGTCCCCCAGCTCCTTCGGGGCCGCCCCTCGCCGCCAGGACTCCGTCCCTCCAGGCAGCAGCTGGGTGGGGACCTTTGGAGAAGGGGCTTCTCCCCACATGGCGGGAGAGCCTGCGCCCTGCCACGAACCCTGCCCCCACCCAGGGTCCCCTGACAGCCAGGGCTGGTCACAGGCCACAGGGACCCTGCCGCAGCTGTCCGATGGTCCAGAGGGCAGGGACCCCTCTGAGCTGCTGTCTTCAGATGGTGCAGCGGGCCCGGGAGGGCATTTGTCTCTCTTAAAAAACCAAAACACTAAAGCAGCTCACTGCAGCCCATCCAAACTCAACCTTTCTGGAGGGAAATCTGACAGTGTTATTGAAAAGCCTCAAAAGGGGGCACCTGGGTGGTTCAGTCATTAGGCATCTGCCTTCAGCTTGGGTTATGATCTCAGGGTCCTGGGATCGAGCCCCACATCGGGGTCTTTGCTCAATGGGAGGCCTGCTTCTCCCTCTCCCACTCCCCTTGCTTGTGTTCCCTCTCTCACTGTGTCTCTCTCTGTCAAATAAAAACAAAATCTTTTTAAAAAAAATTTTTTTAAGCCTCAAAAGATTTTAGGTTTTTTTTTTTTTTAAATGATGGTGTGAAAAAGAAACACCTAAATGTGCCACCTCGGAGGAATGGCCAAGGAACCCAGGCACATCTAAACTGCAGGGTAGTAAACAGTCAACGTTCACCAAGAGTTTTCCACGGCAAGAGAAGAGAGGCTCCTTCCCTCCCTGTGCCTGGCACCACGCAGGACACGGCCACCACCACAGCACGGATCTGCTCCTGCTGGAGGAGACTCTGGGGATAGGCTCCAGGATAGGTTCGGCCAGCAGGGGATGGGGGATCAGCAGAGTGAGGAAGGACAGGGGTAGGGGGCAGGTGGGGAGGGAGCAGGCTGCCGTGTGACCAGGGCAGGCAGGCAGGGAGTCTTCCCAGAATGCGAAAGCAAAGACGCACAGGACCGGAGGGCAGTGGCCGAGCTGCTGCTTGAGGAAAGAGCCAAGGGAAGTGCCAGGCCAGGGCCACAGGGCAGACATGCCCAGAAGCAGACAGCAGAGGTGAGGACAAGGGCAATGCAGGGTCCTGAAGGCCAGGCTCTGTGGGCAGGAGGAGAGGGGACAGCACTAGCTTTGCATTTTAGAAACGGAATCACTTAGAAATATCAAAGGACTTTGAGATGCAGAGAGCACCCCCCAATTCCTGTAAGAAGCTAAGACCCTTAAACATATGTAAAGAGCCAGCAACCACAACAACAGCAAAAAGCCAACAAAACAAAGTCTGTGCACCAGGAATCAAACCAGCAAGGCAGGGGACTGGCCGCCAAGGAAAGATGCAGCAGGAGGGGAAGGAGCCGCGGGCCCCCACCCCACACCACCCAGAACCTCACTGGTGCGGGCCCATTTGGGTGAGTCCCCCTGCCTGGGAGTGACGGAGCGCACTGACCGTCGAGCAGGGAGAAGGGGCCTCCGGGCCGTCTCCCACTGCCTCCTGACTATAGGAAGCAGGAAGCAAAGACGGAGCTCTTCGATGGAACGAGCTCCAGGGCTCCGAGTCAGAGAGGTACTGGCCCCCATTCTGAACACAGGGAGCACCCCAAGACCTCGGGGTCCCAAGAGAGGCCGCCCGGGCCTCGGCTGAGCTGCTCCCACTCCCGGCCTGCCCAGTTCCTTCAGGGCGCAGACCCCGAAACGTCCAGACCTTCACCGCAGCTGCAAGGAAAACCAAGCGCACAGACGGTGGGAGGGCCGGCAAGAGGCTACCAGGCAGCCTGGCAACGCCGCCGCCCAGCCCATCGGGACGCCCCGCTGCCACTCCCCGCTGCGGAGGGGAAAGGCCGTGGCTCCCACGCAGGTCGGCAACCAGCCACGCGATCTCACCCACCCAGCTTCCCTTTAAAAGCAACAGCGCTCACTAGTGCGGACATGAAAACGGTAACTTCCCAGTCGGCTCCGACGGAGCGGGTCACGACCACTGGGAGCAACGACCGAGTGAGTCTGCGGCTGGCCCCTCTGAGCACCGCACATAACCCACGCATCACGCACTTGAAATTGAACCCGCAGCCTCCGGGAGACGGACTCAGCAGCGAACGACGCATCAGTCGCGTCTCCGCAGCCGCTCCACGCCCGCCCGAAGGCAGCGCGCGGGTAAAGCTCGCCGCTCACCTGCTGCCCATCCTGATAGCTGTCTATGCTCAAGGTCTGTGTGGCCATCATGGTGAGTGAGTGTTGTAATAAAACATCACATCATCTCGAGTCAGAGGCAAATGGTGTCTAGGGAAACAAGCAGAAAAGCATCAGTTAATAATTACAGAGCATTTTGGGTCCCCCTTACTCCACAGGACCCATAGGCTTTTTTCAAATGCGTATTTTCATATGGAGAGGAAGAGGCCACCCCAGGAGGTTATAAGCCAACCCCCTCAGCCCGACCCGCTCACTCAGTGGCCCCGAAGTCCCACGTGCTCCGGGCCCGGACTTGTTCTCAGTATTTACCCCTCCGGATGCCTTCCCTCTAGTACCTGTCCACGGGTGCAGGACACCGTCCTGGGCCCGGGGCCGCGACAGTGCGCAGGCTCCGCTCTGCTCTCCTGGGGCGGCTGGGCAGCCGGGCCACACGGAACGGTCAGCGTGTTCACCCCCTTGGCGCTCGCACCCTCCCTGGGTCAGGGTCTCCCGTGGGGCCGCCCTCCCGGGAGGGGCCTGAGTAACAGGGCCGCGACTGCAGAGTGGCCAGAGGCGGGGCCAACCAAGCCGTCACGAGAGTCGGGGCCTCCCACCCGCCGGGGAGCCAACCGTGACCTAGCGAAAGGCCCAGAGGCAAACAAGGCTCCCCCTGTCCTGTAGCAAATGCTCTGACTCAAGTCCCACCCGGCGCCCAGGGGAGCACAGGCAGCGGCGCAGATAGGAGCCAACCGGTCGCGGCGCACACGGGTGCCGGGCAGCTGTAGGCACAAGCCGGTCACCTCGCGCATGGGTAAGTGTCAGGAGGGGATGAGATGAGGACAAGCAGGCAGGGACAGAGAAGACTGGGTGGGGGGAGACCCCCGGGCGCAGGAGGGCCAGCAGGAGCCACGGGGAGGTCATGACTCCACATGTGGGGCAGGGGACTGGGCAGAGTGATGAAGGGGACAGCGAAGGGAAGGGAGCAGCAGGCACGGGACCGGCTCCCACAGACTCTCACAGGCCCCGGCCCCGCTGTCTTGAGGGCACGGGGAGCCATGGGAGGGTCTGAGCAGCAGGGGGACGAAGCAGGGGTCACGGCAGGGTCCCAAGGCGGACAGGTGTGCAGCCGCGGACAGATGCGCAGCCGCGGGCAGGCAGGGCGCTGGGTGTGTTCCCACCTGAACAACGGGCCGAGCGGAGCCGCACGTCCGGGAACGGAGCCGATGGAGGGGAGCAGCTTCTGTGGCCTGCGAGGAGAGAGCAAGGGGCAGGGCATCTTAGGTTTGATGGTTCTCAGACAAATTCTGAACAAATGCGACTGTGTCAGAAAGGCAAACTCAGTGCCCATCAGGGCACGGCTGGTGTGAGGAGGGACCGAATAGTGTCTCTCAGGAGATCGCCGAATCCCAGCCCCTAGTCCTTGCCAGTGGGACCTTCTCTAGAACAAGGGCCTTTACGCAGGTCATTATGCGGAGGATCTTAAGACGAGACTATCCTGGATTAGGGGAGGCCCTAAGTCCAGTGACTGGTGTCCTTTAAGGATGGGGAGACAAAGACCTGAGACACAGAGGGGACATCATGTGCAGAGAGACACCAAGACCAGGCTGATGCTGCCCCAGGCCAAGACCGCCCGGAGCCACCAGGAGTGCAGAGAGGAGGACCTCGAGAGCCTCAGACGCCAGGCTGACTTCAGGTGCCAGAAAGCACGTTTTTGTTGTTTTCATCCGTCTGGTTTGTGGGACTTCGTTCCAGCAGCCCCAGGACACTGCGTAGGGCCTCCAGCTCGGGTGAGGCCAGCCCGGGGAGAGGGGGTGGGCCACATAAGTCAGGAGGTCGGGAGATCTGGGCCACCCGGTACAGAATGGGGAGCAGCCGCCGGCAGGACACAAACAGAACCAGGTGGCACGGCTGACGCCAGAGAAGACAGATGGAGGAGGGTGTGTTACCACGTCACCACAGCTGACTACGGCCACGCGCGCTGGGGAGAGGAGGGCCTGATCGGAGCGGGGAGGACAGAACAGCAAGACGTGGCCAAGGGAAGGAACCGAACTCGCGTGGAGTCGGGACTCGAGCTGCCCTCTCTGCCCCTGGCAGCCTCTGTCCGGAGACAGAGGCAAACCCGTCACTGGGCACCTCCCAGTGGTCTTTGCCTTGACCCAGAGCTGGCCCTCCCCCCGCATCTTGCCTTCCCCCCCACCCCAGGGCAGTGACTCCAACCAGCACTCCCCCCGCCCACAACCCGATCACAGCAGGGGCTCATGGGAACCGCTGGTCTCCCCTCCTCCTCTCCACTGTATCTGGTGAAAACCCCACTGTAGGTCAAGTCCACGGGCGGCAGCACCCCGGCCAGCCCTAACCCAGGAGCCGCGCCCGCGGTCGGAGGGTGTGACGCTATTCCTCCCCCGGCCCGGCACGCCCCCACCCTGGGACTTCGGCTGGAACACTCTGGCCTTCTCTGGGCCTGGCCAGCTGGCAAATACCCCCCATCGCCCACGCGGCCGTCCCGGAGTCTGCCCAGCGCTCGCCCACACCTGGCGCGCAGCTCTCCCCGGGGCCTCGTAGACCGTGCTCAGTGCCACAGGCCTTGTGGTTTCTCTGCACGCTGCACCCTCCTTCAGGGCCAAGGCCCTGTCCTGCCGTGGCCCTGACGACCAATACCGTCTCCGATCACGCCATACAGCCCACCGTGGACGGACGACAGCGTGGTCTGGACGCCTGGCTCACCCAGCTCTGCCCATCCTGGCGCCCGCATCAACGGGCTGCGCGCTCAGCCTTTTCCAATCTCGGTCACGGTCCCTTTGGCGGCCGCAGGCACACAAACTCCCGAGGCCGGGCTGGGTCTCAGGCAACCCCGGCCTGCAGAGAGCAGGGCAGTCCCCGGCTCCCAGCGCCAGTGACGGCTGCCCTGCGAGCACAGCGGGGCTCTGTGGGAGCACCCAAGCCCCCGCGTGGCACCAGCCGTGGGTCACCGGAAGGCTGCCTTTCTCGGCGAACACCTGCCGCGGCCGGCGGGGACAGCTGCCCGTGCTCACGGCTTCCCTTTCTCGACCTCGGAGACCTCGGGCCGGTGCACCTGTGCTGGGGCTGCCTCCACACACTCTAGCTCGCCCCACACGAATGCAGGGGGCTGCGAGCGCCGCCGTCCAGGGCAGACGGGCCAGGCCCGGGCACTCGACCAGGAAGGCGCCGGGTGGCCAGGGCCTCACTATCTCAGCGCTGCACAATGGACACGGAGGTCTCCTGCCATCAGCCGTCTGAAAGTCCAACGCTGCTCAAAGTGGAGAAGAAAGTATTTTAGAAAACTCGCATTTAAAGAATAGACAAACCAAGGAAGATGCATGCCTTCTGGGGCCGCACGGGCCGCAAGCCAAGCCCGGAGCTGCCTCTCTCCCTGCCGCTGACGTCCATCTCCTAGGACCCGGCCAGTGTGGAACCTCACTCCACAGCAGACAGTTCTAGATCAAAGTCATGCCGGCGCAGAAAGCCTGTGTCAGAAGTCCGCGTCTGCTCGGCTGTCGGTGTCCAGAGCTTACACTGGCTCAGCTGCGCCGAGTCCACACAGCAGCAACTGCAGAGAAGGAGCAGGGCGCCGCGTGGCCCCAGGTGCGGGTCCTCCCCGGGCACGACCCACCTCTCGTGCGGCCGGCCATGCGGCCCTCGATGTGTTGCCCACGGGGACATGGGCAGGGAAGTGGCACCGATCCAGAGGCCCCGAGTCTCCTGCTCCAACCCACTCTTCAGAATAGATGCGACGCGCAACCACAAAGCAAAGCCCCTGGGAGACGAGGCAGCAGCGCACCCACGGAGTCACTCCCCACACGTGTCAGCAGTGCCCTGCATTCGACTCTGAAAGCCTTTTTCATCACCGTGAAAGGAAGAGGCTCCCCATGATTTAGGCACGAAGTCACAAGTGCACCTGATGGACGAGACCCCTCGGCAAGGACACATACCAAGAGCTTCCTGCAACAATCCAGTGACTCAGAGTTAAAAAGCATACTGCAGAAACGGGCGGGGGGCCGGGCGGCTCAGTCGGCTAGGCGTCTGCCTTCGGCTCGGGTCATGATCCCAGGGTCCTGGGATCGAGCCCTGCATCAGGCTCACTGCTCAGCAGGGAATCTGCTTCACCCTCTCCCTCTTCCTGTTGCTCCCCTGGCTTGTCCTCACTCTGTGTCAAAATGAATAAAATCTTTTAAAAAAATGTCCATACTATCCAAAGCAATCTACACCCCGAGGGAAATCCCTATCAAATACCACCAGCATTTTTCAGAGAACTAGAACAAACAAGCCTAAAATTTGTATGGAAGCACAAAACACCCCAAATGGCCAAAGTAATCTTGAAAAAGAAAAGCAAAGCTAGTGGCATCACAATTCCAGACTTCGAGCTCTATTACAAAGCTGCAGTCATCAGGACAGTGTGATACTGGCACGAAATAGACACACAGCTCAAGAGAACAGAATAGAAAGCCCAGGAACGGACTCACAACTCTATGGTCAATTAATCTTCAACCAACCAGGAGAAAACACCCCATGGAAATAAGACCATCTCTTCAACAAATGGCATTGGGAAAACTGGTCGGCTACATGCAAAAGAATGAAACTGGACCACTTTCCTACACCAAACACAAAAATAAATTCAAAATGAGTTAAAGACCTAACTGTGAGACCTGAAACCATAAAAACCCTAGAAGAGAGCACAGGCAGTAATTTCTGTGACATCAAGCATAACAACATGTTTTTAGATTTTTAGATCTATCTCTTGAGGCAAGGGAAACAAGAGCAAAAATAAACTATTGGGATCTCATTTAAAAAAAAAAAAAAAAGAAGATGGTGGGCACCTGGGTGGCTCAGCGGGTTAAAGCCTCTGCCTTCGGCTTGGGTCGTGATCCCAAGGCCCTGGGATCGAGCCCCGTATTGGGCTCTCTACTCAGCGGGGAGTCTGCTTCCCCCTCTCTCTCTGCCTGCCTCTCTGCCTACTTGTGATCTCTGTCTGTCAAATAAATAAATAAAATCTTTAAAAAAAAATAAAATAAATTAATTAATTTAAAAAAAAGGAAAAAAATCTTCACAGCAAAAGAAACAATCAATAAAACCAAAAGGCAACCTATGGAATG